GTGGGGGCGGGGGCGGGCCGCGCGCGCCGGAAGTGCCCCTCCCGCGGGTCCCAGGCACCGGAAGTGCGCCTGCCCCGAGTGTCTGGCACCGGAAGTGCCCCTTCCCCGAGACTCTGGGACCGGAAGTGCCCCTCCCGCGGGTCCCAGACACCGGAAGTGCTCCTTCCCCGAGTGTCTGACACCGGAAGTGCCCCTCGCTCGGGCCCCAGACACCGGAAGTGCCCCTGCCCCGAGTGTCTGGCACCGGAAGTGCGTCTTCCTGGAGACTCTGGCACCGGAAGTGCCCCTCCCTTGGGTCCCAGACACCGGAAGTGCCCCTTCCCCGAGTCTCTGGGACCGGAAGTGCCCCTCCCTTGGGTCCTGGATTCCGGAACTGGCCCTTCCCCGAGTGTCTGGCACCGGAAGTGCCCCTTCCCCGAGTCTCTGGGACCGGAAGTGCCCCTTCCCCGAGTCTCTGGGACCGGAAGTGCCCGTCCCCCGGGTCCGAGACACCGGAAGTGCCCCTTTCTCCACACTGGCGCACCGGAAGTGCCCCTCCCTTGGGTCCTGTCGACCGGAAGTGGCCCTGCCCCGAGTCTCTGGCACCGGAAGTGCCCCTCCCTTGGGTCCTGGATACCGGAAGTGCCCCTCCCTTGGGTCCTGGATACCGGAAGTGGCCCTCCCTCGGGGCCCCCGCACCGGAAGTGACGTCATCCCCCCCCGCAGCGCTCCCGCCGCAGCCGGGCCGCGTGGCGATCGTGACGGGCGGCACCGACGGGCTGGGGCTGGCGGCCGCGCGGCGCCTGGCGGAGCTGCGCATGCGCGTCGTGCTGGGTGAGCGCGGGCCCCGCCCACAGCCCCGAAACCACGCCCACAGCCGTTAAACCCCGCCCACAGCCCCGAAACCACGCCCACAGCCCTGAAACCCCGCCCACAGCCACCAGGCCACGCCCACAAAGCCGAAACCCCTCCCCGGCCCCGCCCACCCGCGCAGGCCACGCCCCTAGGCGTTTGTTTGCGTTAGCTCCGCCCCCACGCTCCCTGGGAGACTGTAGGCCACGCCCCACGCATGTGACTGAGTGCTAGGCCACGCCCACAGCATGGGACGGTGTGCTAGGCCACGCCCACAGCATGTGACTGAGTGCTAGGCCACGCCCACAGCATGGGACGGTGTGCTAGGCCACGCCCCCGTCTTCCTGCTTGGCTCCTCCCACCCATGGTGTCATTTCTGGCTAGGCCACGCCCCCTGGGTGACTGTAGGCCACGCCCCACGCATGTGACAGTGTGCTAGGCCACGCCCCAAGCCCGTTATGCAGTGCTAAGCCACGCCCACCGCTCCCTGTTAGGCTCCTCCCACTCTTTGGGATGATTCAGGCGAGGCCACGCCCCCTGGGTGACTTTAGGCCACGCCCCTCGCATGTGACTGCGCGCTAGGCCACGCCCACCGCTCCCTGCGAGGCTCCTCCCACCCATTATGTCATTTCAGGCTTGGCCACGCCCCCTGCAGCCCTCTAGGCCACGCCCCAAGGACGTTAGGCCTCGTTAGGCCACGCCCCCTTCTCCCTGCTAGGCTCCTCCCACTCGTTACATCATCTCTGCCTAGGCCACGCCCTCCAGGTCCCTCTAGGCCCCGCCCCCGGGATGTCACTCATCCCCACGCCCCGCCCACCCGTCCCTGCGAGGCCCCGCCCACCCATGACGTCATGTCTGACGTGGGTTTTTTTTTTTGATTCCCAGCGGGAAATAACACATCCCGGGCGGAAGCCGCCGTCCGTGACGTCAGAGAGCAGACGGGGAACGACCAAGGTGGGTGCTGTGACTCAGTTTCCCTGCGGACCTGGGGGTGGGTGCTGGGTGCTGAGTACCTCCCCCATGGGTGCTGGGTGCTGAGTACCTCCCCCATGGGTGCTGGGTGCTCAGTACCTCCCCCATGGGTGCTGGGTGCTGAGTACCCCACCATGGGTGCTAAGTACCCCCATGGTTACTGAATGCTGAGTACCCCACACATGGGTGCTGGGTGCTGAGTCCCCCCACATGGGTGCTGGGTGCTGAGTACCTCCCCCCATGGGTGCTGGGTGCTGAGCACCTCCTCCATGGGTGCTGCATCCTGAGTACCCCCCTATGGGTGCTGGGTGCTGAGTACCCCCCCCATGGGTGCTGAATGCTGAGTACCCCTGGGTGCTGGTTGCTGAGTACCCACCAAGGGTGCTGGGTAACACCATGGGTGCTGGTGCTGAGTACCCCCATGGGTACTGAATCCTTAGTACTCCCCATGGGTGCTGGTGCTGAGTACCACCCATGGGTGCTGAATACCCCTGGGTGCTGTGTACTGAGTACCCCTGGGTGCTGGGTGCTGAATACCTGAGTGCTGAGTACCCCTAGGTGTTGAGTACCCCACCCCTGGGTGCTGAGTGCTGAGTACCCCTATTGGTTCTGGCTGCCCCTGGGTGCTGGGTGCTCAGTACCCCCTGGGTGCTGGGTGCTGAGTACCCTCTGAGTATTAGGAACTGCACTTCCCCCTACACCCCCCCTTCCCCACCACCCCAGTGGAGTTCATGTACCTGGACCTGGGCTCCCAGCACTCGGTGCGAGAGTTCGTGCGTGAGTTCAAGGCGAAGCAGATCCCCCTGCACGTGCTGGTGAACAACGGTGAGTTCCAGAAGGTTCTACCCGGCCCTGATGGATGGATGGATGGATGGATGGATGGTGGGGGGGGGCGGGAATGTGTCTGGGATTCGACCTCTGACCTTCCCGCGCTCCCTCAGCCGGGGTGATGATGGTGCCACGCAGGCTGACGCCCGACGGGTTGGAAGAACACTTTGCCGTCAACTACCTGGGCCACTTCCTGCTGACCCTGCTGCTGCTCGACCTCCTACGCGCCTCGGGAACCCCGGACCGGACGGCCCGCGTGGTGAACGTGACCTCTGCCACCCACCACCTAGGCTACATCTGCATGGACGACCTGCAGGGCAGGTGAGCCAGCCACCCACCCATCCACCCATCCATCCATCCACCCATCCATCCACCCAACCATCCATCCACCCACCCACCCATCCATCCATCCATCCATCCA